ACAAAAGCAGCCGTTGGGAAAAATTATTAAAGACTTTTTTATGACTATCTTAACACAGAAATTCTTAGGAATGCTCTTTATAGACCACAATATTTGAACTTGTTTTTGAGTGAAGATAACAATGAGGGGCTTTAGTTGGAACTTGATGAAAAACACAGTACAGCATGTACAACCTTCACCTTTATTGGTTGAAAAGATCGGCCAAATCTGCCCTTGAATTTGAATATCTTTGCTTAACCGAGTCTGATCGTTTAGTTCAACAAAGCGGGGCAGACTTGTAGCCTCCACCCTGATAGATTGTTTGAGTGGTGGTGATGTATTGGAGCAAGCCAAGAGAACAAAAATGAAGACCAGTGGCTCCTAATATTCAATACATAATAAGGTTAATTGTCATTTAACATCTAAAGGACCTTGCTTTGTAGGAGGCTTCTCGTGTCTATCTCTGACCAAATATTTTGTACTCTGTTTGTCCTCTTTGGGTCATTTCCACTGGACATTATACTTTAAGAATAAACAAAAAGCTGAAAAAAGAGAGGAATTTAAAACCAGTAATTCATACCATTTGATTGCACTGGTAAAGGCAAGAGATTTTTGATGTTTATTACTACCTGACTTTTGTTGTAGTAATGTTTTTTAAAATTATGTTTACCCATCTGGGCCCCATTTCACAAAACTTGTCATCAGTGAAAAATAACAGTTTTTGTTGAAGCTTGTGAAATCCATGCTTCTGATTGGTTATCAGGTGGGCACTATCTCCACAAAAAAAAAGAAGAAAGAAAATTAATAAGCAAAAGGGGGATGTGAGAGGATAAGGGGGGGGGGGGGGGGGTTCCATCATTATATTATGTTCCTACTAGCTCGTTTAATCTGATATTTACGGATTCTTGAATCTTTTTGATGTAATAATTTTGTAGTTTTCCTTGATGGTCAAATATTGGTGGTCTCAGCATGCTTCTCGCTCTGCTGTCTAGCCAGCCATGAACTGATGGACGTTTAGGTTATTTGGTCAGCACAAAGTGACCTCAGAAAACAGTTGTTCAGGACCAGAGGAGGCTTAACGAAGGACTAGACCTTAGGGGGATGAGTGTCTTTGAACTGTGTTGACCGATTTATAATATCATTTCTAATCTACGCAAGGTCACAAGATATTACCTGCCAAACGGTCACCAAGGAGAAACAGTGTTGTCCCACTCATATAGATTCATGTTAGCTGTTTGGGAAATTTATGTTTTGTGCATGGAACATAGGCCTACATGAAAATCTAGAAACGGCATTATTGTATTTTTCATACCACCCTACATTAACATAATAGCCAGACAATCATTCATGACATCTTGTCCATTTTTAGTGCCATCTGAATCCATCATACAACATGTAATCTGTTTGGTGTATAGGTCATTGTTTAAAGGCCTTTTACTACACACTTCGTCCTTGTTTTCACGAAGTGACGGTAGTGAGGAAAATCGTAACGCAAAGTGAATGCAATTTTTTTTCACTACCGTCACTTCGTGAAAACAGCGACGATTTGTTTTGGTGCAAAGTGCACACCGTCCCCAGACCTACATGTACATTTTGAAAGCAAAATGCGAGCTAATTCAACCATCAAAATATCTAGTATATAATTCACTACACACTCTATGTATAACTTAACACAAAGAACATTCTTAACTGGTGTTAAATTTAAGAAACAAACTAAAATGCACACTGCATCTGTAAATAAAATTGTCAATTCATCTTGATATCCAATTGGAAGTGAAGACGAGACGCTGATGTGCATTCAATAGACAAGGGGCATGGCAGTCACGATAATGGGACAACCCGCTTCCCAATGGGGGAACGCATCTACAGCTGTCCGTGAATGGTGGAATTTGGATTATTAATTTGCAGGATTCGGTTTCTTGTCAGCTCAGCCATGCCTGGGGGGAATGGGAAAGACATTGAGTGAATCCCACGGAATGATAGGAAGATCCAACCCTTTCATAGGCTGTCTCTCATCGTTCTGCCCTCCCTCCGCTAGCTGTCTATAGGCTGTCTTCATCAGCTCGAGTTTGCCAGATAACCCGCTATTTTAACTATCCTGATTGCAAATTAACCATTTAATTACGAAGAAATCTAGGTCTTTTTTCCAAAATATCTCGCTATTTGGGAACTGGCGGGCTAATTTGTGCCTGTCCTAGCTAGTTTGTGATGAGCATATCGGTCTGGTGAAGATGCAATTTTGAATTTCAGGATAATTTCCTGAGTCTGAAAAGAGTGGGTTATTTTGCAATCTCGAGCTGATGAAGACTGGCCTTAAATGTGAATGGTGATGTGATTAATGAACTATGCTGTACTGCATGCTCTATGTGATAAAATAACTTCATTAGTAGAGTAGATGTGTTCATGATCAATTGAAGAAATATTAGCTATGTTCCTTATCCATTATGTTGATTGGATGCTTTCAGGGATGGTGAATAATCATTCTGATTTTCAGTGGACTAGAACAAATTCTAAGAATTCTGAATTATTGCTTGTATTGACTCGAGTCCGAAATGCTAGATATATATTTTACACGAAATTTGTTTTTTCTTGAACTGTTTAGATAGAGGTCAGTCACATTCAGTATTTTGCCTCTGGAACTTGCGCACAATGTGCAATTTATTGCAAGCTAAAAAAAGAATGTGTAATGTACTGAAGAAAAGAAATAAAGAGATCCATATCCATTTAGTCTGTTGGGTTTTTTGTTTTGTTTTTGTTTTGGTATAAGGGGGATGATTCAGTTATTATTGCGGTCATGCTCTGTGAGTCAATACATGTAACACGCTTAACAATGAAACAGCATCCATGTCCCATCTCTACAAGTATATTGAATTGATGAATCATACTTTTATTATAATTCCTTGAAGTTAAAACAACCCTGCTGTCCGATCCCATTCTCTAAAATTTGCACAAAAGGCCATTGCGCCTAAGCCTGAGTGTGCGTACTCGTTTCACTTATTGGATGCATTCGTCCCAGATGTTTTCAAGTGTTCATTGAAATCCATTCATTCTAGACTTCTGAGAGCTCATCTATTGACTGTCTTTCATTAAAGGGTTCTCCTCGCCTGGCTTGATACAGGATCAACGTTTCAAGACCCCCCCCCCCAACTATTCTCTCTCCTTCCATCTATCGCTGTTCAATTTTATTCAGGTCCTTTTATTGATTTTGATCAAGGCCTAGCTATGAGATCATCCTCAAAAGAAAACAAAGTGAGATAAATTGCATGAATAATATATGGTATTGGTGGTGTGAGGAATTCCTTGAAACTCATTAATACCTCAGACAATATATGCTTGAGACAAACAAAGAGGGGGGGGGGGGGGTTAAAGCCCTTAATAGACAATTAGTCATATAATCTATTCGTCTTGTTTCATAAGTACACTTTTCTTCAGCTGGGAGGGAAGGGGGGGGGGGGTAAAGGTTTTGTTAAGCTCACATACCAGTCGTCCAGATTCGGTCTGTTTATATGTTGTTGTTTTTTGTTTTTCAGTCATCGTTTTCCCCTCCCTTTGGTCCCACACAAAGCACAAAGTCTCCATTAATCACTTAATCCCCGAAAATATACCCGTCAAATAAAAAGGCCATCTCCGTTTTGGCGTTGAGGGTGTGTTCTTAGCTCCTCACGTACATGTATTGGCTCTCTCTCCCTCTCCTTTATTGCATTATTCTAATACCTGAAGTCTAGACTGAACATTTGATTTCAAGCCCATATAATTCAATCACCCTTCATGATAGACAGCAATATGTCTCGCCGTCAGTTTTCTCTCACATTAAAAGTGCACAGACGCACCAGATAGATGTCAATTTTCCAGTCTGTTTGTTCCAGGCAAAATTATTTTTTTAAGGCGATGAAATCCGTGGACTGTCTTTGAACTTGAAGAGTTTGTCAGCTTTGAGTAAAGAAGGATAAAACTTGAAGCTTTTGCAAATACATTTTACGTTCTGAAAGTTAGAAGGGCATTACAAATCTTTTATGATATAAATCTTTAAACAGATTGTATTTGGTGGCCATTTTTGTTGTTGATATTCTTTTTTTTTTAGATTGCAAAAATTGAGTGCTTTGTCAGTTCAATACCTTGCAAAGTGAATCTTTCACACACATCTGAACCATTGGACCACACATGTTTTTTTTTACTCACCAAAATCTTACTAATACAGTAGTATGCACCTGAGAGTTTCTATGTTTGTAGAACTACAGGTCTATATACACATTACATAAAGAAATCACCTTTCTAGCGGAATGTTGGTCCAAAGTCAGATGTAAATGTCAGTTTGCGCCTTGACCGTGATATGACTTGCTGCATGGAAGCTGTTGATATACAACACATGGGCAGCTAAGCTGTTTGATATTGCAAGCATTTAGTCATCCCATAGTCACCTTCACTTCCTTTGTAACATGTGTGTTTTAATACCAGACTCATTCACACTTTAGAATATTATATCATATTTAAGATAGTAAATAAAGTTGTTCTATAGTTTGAAATATCTGTATGCATTTTACTTTTTTCAGACACTATTATTTCATGCCATGCAGTTTCTTGTCAATACTTTAAATACCGTTTTTGGAAACTTCATTTTATTTTGTAATGTGAAATAATCTCTGAACACTCTCTTTGAAATTGTCTATGTACTGTTTTTGACATGTACATGTATGTAGGCCTATGCACATGCTGGCATCATGGCAAAGAAAAGGCATCTCCAATCCCTGGCCCCTCAATATTTCACGTCTAAATCCCGTAGTACCGTGGGGGCATCCGTTCTCTCATGTTTTATCTTGACATACATGCATTCATTATGACTGATGCTCTCACTGGAGATGAAAGCTTCTCTCTCAAGTCCTGTCATATCCCATCGTTTGGCCTCTGTCTCCTTCTCAGGCTCCTCTCTAAACCTCAGAACCATGTGGTTTTTAAGTCTTCAGGCTTACGGCGGTCTATGAGCACTTAAGCACTTCTAGTAAACCAGAAGCTGCCGGTAGCAGCTGTATAGGGCCTTTGAGGGAGTTTTTAATCCGGGGGGTATTAATCCCTTTTAATCCTTAATCCTTTTTAATGACTTCCATAAAACAATAGGGAAGAGGAAATGAAATTTAACGAGGTATTTCCGGTCAGGAAGTGTGTTAATTAATGCAGGTATTTCCTGTCAGGATGTGTGTGAATTAATGCAGGTAGTTTTTTCATGGGAAAGGGGGGCATCTGGGTCATAAAACTTGAATTATGAGGGTCTTTCCTCTGGAGGAAGTGTTTACATCATGAGTCATCATCATGGGAGAGGTCTGGGGATGGACGTGTTACTGGTAGGACGGGCAATGACCAAATGACCAAAACAATGGGCCTGTGCCAGTTATGTTGTTTGTACGCAGGTACGTATCCGAGCAATGAGAATGCGAGGATCCTTCTTGTTGGAGTGACGTCACCATTGTGCGTGCTTGTGATTGGATGAGGGAAAAGGAAGGGGTGACTGAGAGGGCGTAACCTAAGGGGTGAGGTAAGGTATAAACGTCGGAGGATTCGCACCATTTTATATCATAGACATCAGCGCTAAATTAGTGAATCATGCATGAGCCATTCATAGCTAATTAGCATTAATTAAAAGAACAATAGACTAATTAAGAGCTCCTTCCCCCATTTCCATCTTGAATTAGCAATTTTTCCTCTTTGATTGTCAGAAGAGCGGAAGTTTTCAGACGCTGCGAATGGATGATTTTAATTAATCGTCTTGCTTTTGATTGGTGAAAGAAGACCCATGCTTGGTGGTGATTGGGCAACTAATTAAAGGAGTGCGTTGTGATTGGTCGTGGGGTGTGGTGCATTGAGACGTGTAGTGAAGAGACTAAATATACACCAGGGTGGTGTTGAGATAAGGTATCACATTCAGCACTGAGCTACAATTCGTTCTTTGAAAGCATCTCTATAGCATATACCACACGTAGGTCTAACTCTTCATATATAACCATGATGGCCACTCGCTCACCGAAAAAGTCTACCACTACAACAGCCACCATCCACAACACTGTGTTAAACACGCCTAAGGTCAAGATACCAGAGAACAACGCCACCAATGTCTTACATCGGGCCAGTTTTTCAATGTCTCCGGTGGAGCAGAAGAAGCTCAAACCAGCAACCCCTCCTGAAATCTTGGCAATGAGGGTAAGTGTCCATAGTCAAGTAATATACTGATTTGTTTTACAAATTCAATATATCATGTTATGCTATGTGTTATTAATTTTGTTTGTAAACTTTTGTAATTCGGCTTAACGCCGCGATGAAAGTTTTCTTTGAAATAAACCATTTTGAATTGATTTGATTGAATTATATTATATGTATACTCTTTAATTTAAATGTTAATACTATACCTTACTGTCTTTGAAAATAAGAGTATCTTTGCATTAATAGTTGCATTGCAAGTGAACTGCGTGAGAGAAGTGAAGCATGCGTATGCATTCCAACAAACTCGATTTAAAACAATTATATTCATGGTGTTGTCTTCTTTTCTTCTTTTTTTGTTGTTGTATCATAGGCACAAGGTGACAGAAAATGTGTAAGTTGGATTACGGGTAAGGAAGAGGCGGGGTGTCATTTTAGTCAGGAGATAATTAACGTGGAAAAATGTAAATTTGAAGCAGGTTCGAAACCATTTCATTTGGGTGGGAAGCGTTTTGCTGTAGTCAAGAAATTCAGGGGAGTCCCATACGTGAACATTCGAGAATACTACAACACGAAAGGTACTAACAGGATGCTCCCGGGGCAGAAGGGTATCAATTTAACGGGAGAAAATTGGTGGAAATTGGTCGAGGCCAAATTTGAAATCAGCGATGCTGTCAGAGATTTGAGTAACGTGAAGAAATAGTTTTACAACTTGATGTTTTTGTTTGCGGTTTTGGTTTTTTGATAATACAACATATAAACAAAAAGGAAGAATAAAAAAGAAATTAAAAAAAGTAGATAGTTAAAAAAATACCTGATTGACGCTCCTCCCTTTTTCCGCGACCAGGATACAATCGCCGAAAATGAATCAAAAACTTTCAAGATCCTTGCTCACTGCACATGGACAGCTATCTCCTTCACCACCACTCACACCAGAAGGCGCGATTATCGGATATTCTCCATCGAGACCCCCAGTTGTCCGCCAACTGCTGAGGCAGAATGCAGTCATAGAAGGAGTGACTACCCCAAGGGGAACAAGCAGACCTCCATCTCCATCATCCTCCTCGGGTCAGATGGAAGTAGACGTACCTGAAAAGGTCCTTAGAAGTCTCCAGAAACTTAGCAGAAAGCGAGGAGGTGGAGGTGGCTGCGGAGGAGGAGGAGGAGGAAGAGAAGGACGACAGACTAGACACAGATGTCAGATTGCAGGAGACGGTGACGATGGAGGCGAAAGACGACATACATTTTCCTGTAGCACCTGTCCTACACTGTAATAGCCGTCAAGGCACTTTCGGGTCTTATCAACGAGGCGGTGCATCAGTCGTGCACAGGATGCAGACTCAACTATCCTAGCCAGAAAGACCATGAGGATTGTATGTGGTTAGAGTGGTCAGACACGACAGACAAGTATTTCGATGAGGCCATCACCAAGCTCACCGAGGAACGATACTTTTGCATCGTTAAATTGGTTTACATCGTAATCGTGAATAAAATGTTTGAGGAGGAGTTGGACGCTTGCGTGCATGGAAGGAGCCACACATAAAAGAAGGACGTTTTGTCAATCATCATGAGCAAACTAAAGGAACTTTAACCGGAAATTTTAAAAAGTGGATTTCGTTTACCCTTTTGAAGTAATGTATCCACGTTGTTTGTTTTTTAAACAAAAATTCTTTATAATGTATAGGTTAAATAAAAGTAGCAATGACGTTTGCGAATGAAAAAAAATAGAACATTACTTTTGTTGCATTCTCATATTTTCGTGCAAATAGTTTTCCCGCTTGCAACCAGATTGAAGTGTGTGCTGAATGTCATTAGTGATGTGCACGTGGACGTGACGATTGGGTATTGGAAGAATACGTGGGAAAGATATACTCATACGAAGCATGAAACTGGTTTTAGTGGTGGTGAGAAACTATTTCGATTTGTCAAGAAAGAAGGTGCGATTGAGTTGTCGAGAAAACAAATAAAGCAATGACTGGAAAGTGATGTTACCTCGGTGTTACCTATACTATTCATCGTCCGTTGTGAGACGGAAATTTACGAGAAGTAGAGTCATAGCGTATGGGATAGTTGATGTATAGCAGATGGACTTGGCGGATTTGCCACTTGAAATGACATATGTAAAGGTAGCAATAGGAAAATGATTAGACGTTATAATTTTGACAAGACACTGTAATTCGTGTCTTCGCGTAACGTCTCTTTCAATTATGCGATTATTTTACCTACTTGAGACAATGATCAGCAGTCTGATTTTTTTTATAAGCAGTTGACACGAATTAGTTCTCTCTTTTATTAGAAATGTAAACAAATAATGATCAACCTTTTTGCACTTTTATTTATGCTATGGCGTCATTGGTTTTCTTGAGACAAGTACATGTATTTGTCTCTTGTAATGTCTATTCAGTGTAGACACAAAGCGCGTATTGATACCAAAAAGAAGAAGAAAAAAAAGCGATAACAATTACCAATTGAGAACAAATACAGGTTATAACAGGTTATGGAATCGCTAACTGCAAATGATTTTTTTTTTAAACAGAAACATAAATAATGTGTAATAAATAATGCGTTGAGATGTAGAAGCATCTCGCCTAGCGAGATGCGTCTTCGTGATTTTACGGAGACACATCTCACCGCATTCTACTATGCAAGACTTGTATTGAACGCAGATTTCTACACCTCATGTTTTGTATGTTATCTGAAATTTCTTGGCAATCGGTTTGTCGAAGAATGGAGTACCACATTTTATCTATAATATGCATACAATCCACACACCAATTGTTGTATACCTTTGGAGCTGAAAACAATTATTATTCCGAGAATTCTGTACCAATGTTCATTTATACGAGACATGCGGAACATTCCCTACTCTTAATCACAAGACCTACTAAGGTTCACTCATGTGGAGCACCCTATCGCCTGAATTACGTACAAGTATATTATCTTTATTATCATTGAAGATGTAATATGAACAGATAAGTATTGTGAATGCCCTCTGAGAAACGATTTCTGTCTTTTGATTCATATTTATATTGATATTGTATGACTGTATTGTCATATTTTGTAAACCAGTTTTTTTTTGAGTTATGCTGTGTCATTGTTCTAAATCTTAGTTTTGAATATTGTTGTACTTTATTCTTGTTTCTATTGTATTATAATTTATATAATATGTTTTTTCATTATAAATGCATTTGAACTATAAAGACGGGGCCCCCTTCGAAGATCATTATTCGATATTAAAAGGGCCGTCCTGGCTATTAAAAAAAAAATGACAAAAAATAAATAAAAATAAAAAATAAAATAAAAATATATACAATTCGTTTCTTAAACATGCATCCATATAAAAGTAGCTCTCAATCTTGTCGGAACTTGTACATTATTACGAGAGAAAAATTCATGTCGGGTCTGTATAGAAACAAGGAATAACGTCTTGACGGAAAGTAAAATATAAAAATAAAGTAAGAAAATGTACAGGTATTAATACTTTTTGCATCAAGTCTTGAAATGGGGTTAAACATATCGAAACGTACAAAATGATCCAACAAATTATACAAAATGTTAAAGAAAAAAAAATAACGTAATGAAAGAAAGTTTTAAAAAAGAAAAAGAAAGAAAGTGTACAGACGTTGATGCTTTTTTTTGTACATCAACTCTTCAAAGGGGTGGGGGAATGATCGAGTTTTGCAAAATAATCTTATAAAGAAAAAGAAATAACGTCTTGACAGAAAGTTAAATCAAAACAATTTAAAACAAATTTTAAAAAAGTCTACAGGCGTTAACACTTTTTTTTTTTTTTTTTTTTTTGCATCTAGTCTTCAAAGTGGTAGGAAAAAAAAGATCGGTTGGTGCAAAAATGATCTTTAAAAAAAAAAAAAAAAAAAAAAAAAAAAAAAAAAAAAAAAAAAAAAAAAAGGTATAAAATCTATTTCAAAGAAAAAGAAATAACGTCTTGAGAGAATCAAAGTGGAAAAAAAAATGATCGGTTCGTGCAAAATGATCAAAAAAAAAAAAAATGCTTTTTGTACATCAAGTCTTCAAAGGGGGGGGAGAAAAAAAAAATGATCGACTCCTGCAAAATAATCTTATAAAGAAAAAGTTATAACACTTAAAGAAAAAACAAAACATCTTGACAGAAAATTAAAACAAAACAAAAATGTTAAAACAAAATTTAAAAAAGCGTACAGGCGTTAACACTTTTTTGCATCAAGTCTTCAAAGTGGAAAAAAAGATCGATTCGTGCAAAATTATCTTTTAAAGAAACAGTAATACATCTTTTTTAAAGAAAAAAATAACGCCTTTAAAGAATCAAGTCTTCAAAGTGGAAAAAAAAAATATGATCGGTTCGTGCAAAATGATCTACAAAAATATATATATATATATATATATATATTATGAAACTTTTTAAAAGAAAAAGAAAAACGTAATGACAGAAAGTTTTTTTCTTTAAAGAAAAAAATTAAGAAGGTGTAAAGGCGCTAATGCTCTTTGTACATCAAGTCAGGCGCAAATGCTTTTTTTTTTGTTCTACATCAAGATTTCAAAGGGGGAGGGGAGAATGATCGACTCGTGCAAAACAATCTTATAAAGAAAAAGTCATAACACTTTTTTAAAGAAAAATAAATAACGTCTTGACAAAAAGTTAAAACAAAATTTTTAAAACAAATTTAAAAAAAAAAGCGAACAGGCGTTAACACTTTTTTTTTTTGCATCAATTTTTCAAAGTGAAAACAAAAACTTATTGGTTTGTGAAATTGATTTTGTTTTGTCCAAAAGATAGTGGTCAACAATTTAATAATAAATCAATCAACTGTGGGTTCACAAGTTTCCATAGTTTGAAAGTTCTTTATAAGGCAGAAATTAAAGCAAGACGTAATTAAATATAAGTATGTCATACGAATATCATAACGTCTATAGACTTAAAATTACTCTGCCGTTTTGTCGTACACATTATTTATGTTTCTGTTTAAAAAAAAAATCATTTGCAGTTAGCGATTCCATAACCTGTTATAACCTGTATTTGTTCTCAATTGGTAATTGTTATCGCTTTTTTTTTCTTCTTCTTTTTGGTATCAATACGCGCTTTGTGTCTACACTGAATAGACATTACAAGAGACAAATACATGTACTTGTCTCAAGAAAACCAATGACGCCATAGCATAAATAAAAGTGCAAAAAGGTTGATCATTATTTGTTTACATTTCTAATAAAAGAGAGAACTAATTCGTGTCAACTGCTTATAAAAAAAAAATCAGACTGCTGATCATTGTCTCAAGTAGGTAAAATAATCGCATAATTGAAAGAGACGTTACGCGAAGACACGAATTACAGTGTCTTGTCAAAATTATAACGTCTAATCATTTTCCTATTGCTACCTTTACATATGTCATTTCAAGTGGCAAATCCGCCAAGTCCATCTGCTATACATCAACTATCCCATACGCTATGACTCTACTTCTCGTAAATTTCCGTCTCACAACGGACGATGAATAGTATAGGTAACACCGAGGTAACATCACTTTCCAGTCATTGCTTTATTTGTTTTCTCGACAACTCAATCGCACCTTCTTTCTTGACAAATCGAAATAGTTTCTCACCACCACTAAAACCAGTTTCATGCTTCGTATGAGTATATCTTTCCCACGTATTCTTCCAATACCCAATCGTCACGTCCACGTGCACATCACTAATGACATTCAGCATACACTTCAATCTTGTTGCAAGCGGGAAAACTATTTGCACGAAAATATGAGAATGCAACAAAAGTAATGTTCTATTTTATTTTCATTCGCAATCGTCATTGCTACTTTTATTTAACCTATACATTATAAAGAATTTTTGTTTAAAAAACAAACAACGTGGATACATGACTTCAAAAGGGTAAACGAAATCCACTTTTTAAAATTTCCGGTTAAAGCTCCTTTAGTTTGCTCATGATGATTGACAAAACGTCCTTCTTTTTCAGTTCGTTGTGAACGAATGTGTGGCTCCTTCCATGCACGCAAGCGTCCAACTCCTCCTCAAACATTTTATTCACGATTGCGATGTAAACCAATTTAACGATGCAAAAGTATCGTTCCTCGGTGAGCTTGGTGATGGCCTCATCGAAATACTTGTCTGTCTTGTCTGACCACTCTAACCACATACAGTCCTCATGGTCTTTCTGGCTAGGATAGTTGAGTCTGCATCCTGTGCACGACTGATGCACCGCCTCGTTTATAAGACCCGAAAGTGCCTTGACGGCTATTACAGTGTAGGACAGGTGCTACAGGAAAATGTATGCCGTCTTTCGCCTCCATCGTCACCGTCTCCTGCAATCTGACATCTGTGTCTAGTCTGTCGTCTTTCTCTTCCTCCTCCTCTTCCTCCGCAGCCACCTCCATCTCCTCGCTTTCTGCTAAGTTTCTGGAGACTTCTAGGACCTTTTCAGGTACGTCTACTTCCATCTGACCCGAGGAGGATGATGGAGATGGAGGTCTGCTTGTTCCCCTTGGGGTAGTCACTCCTTCTATGACTGCATTCTGCCTCCGCAGTTGGCGGACAACTGGGGGTCTCGATGGAGAATATCCGATAATCGCGACTTCTGGTGTGAGTGGTGGTGAAGGAGATAGCTGTCCATGTGCAGTGAGCAAGGATCTTGAAAGTTTTTGATTCATTTTCGGCGATTGTATCCTGGTCACGGAAAAAGGGAGGAGCGTCAATCAGGTATTTTTTGAACTATCTACTTTTTTAAATTTCTTTTTTATTCTTCCTTTTTGTTTATTATGTTGTATTATCAAAAAACCAAAACCCCAAACAAAAACATCAAGTTGTAAAACTATTTCTTCACGTTACTCAAATCTCTGACAGCATCGCTGATTTCAAATTTGGCCTTGACCAATTTCCACCAATTTTCTCCCGTTAAATTGATACCCTTCTGCCCCGGGAGCATCCTGTTAGTACCTTTCGTGTTGTAGTATTCTCGAATGTTCACGTATGGGACTCCCCTGAATTTCTTGACTACAGCAAAACGCTTCCCACCCAAATGAAATGGTTTCGAACCTGCTTCAAATTTACATTTTTCCACGTTAATTATCTCCTGACTAAAATGACACCCCGCCTCTTCCTTACCCGTAATCCAACTTTCACATTTTCTGTCACCTTGTGCCTATGATACAACAACAACAAAAAAGAAGAAAAGAAGACAACACCGTGAATATAATTGTTTTAAATCGAGTTTGTTGGAATGCATACGCGTGCTTCACTTCTCTCACGCAGTTCACTTGCAATGCATCTATTAATGCAAAGATACTCTTATTTTCAAAGACAGTAAGGTATAGTATTAACATTTAAATTAAAGAGTATACATATAATATAATTCAATCAAATCAATTCAAAATGGTTTATTTCAAATAAAACTTTCATCGCGGCGTTAAGCCGAATTACACAAGTTTACAAACAAAATTAATAACACATAGCATAACATGATATATTGAATTTGTAAAACAAATCACTATATTACTTGACTATGGACACTTACCCTCATTGCCAAGATTTCAGGAGGGGTTGCTGGTTTGAGCTTCTTCTGCTCCACCGGAGACATTGAAAAACTGGCCCGATGTAAGACATTGGTGGCGTTGTTCTCTGGTATCATCCTGACCTTAGGCGTGTTTAACACAGTGTTGTGGATGGTGGCTGTTGTAGTGGTAGACTTTTTCGGTGAGCGAGTGGCCATCATGGTTATATATGAAGAGTTAGACCTACGTGTGGTATATGCTATAGAGATGCTTTCAAAGAACGAATTGTAGCTCAGTGCTGAATGTGATACCTTATCTCAACACCACCCTGGTGTATATTTAGTCTCTTCACTACACGTCTCAATGCACCACACCCCACGACCAATCACAACGCACTGCTTTAATTAGTTGCCCAATCACCACCAAGCATGGGTCTTCTTTCACCAATCAAAAGCAAGACGATTATTTGAAATCATCTATTCGCAGCGTCTGAAAACTTCCGCTCTTCTGACAATCAAAGAGGAAAAATGGCTAATTCAAGATGGAAATGGGGGAAGGAGCTCTTAATTAGTCTATTGTTCTTTTAATTAATGCTAATTAGCTAAGAATGGCTCATGCATGATTCACTAATTTAGCGCTGATGTCTATGATATGAAATGGTGCGAATCCTCCGACGTTTATACCTTACCTCACCCCTTAGGTTACGCCCTCTCAGTCACCCCTTCCTTTTCCCTCATCCAATCACAAGCACGCACAATGGAGACGTCACTCCAACAAGAAGGATCCTCGCATTCTCATTGCTCGGATAAGTACCTGCGTACAAACAACAAAACTGGCACAGGCCCATTGCTTTGGTCATTTGGTCATTGCCCGTCCTACCAGTAACACGTCCATCCCCAAACCTCTCCCATGATGATGACTCCATGATGTAAACACTTCCTCCACAGGAAAGACCCTCATAATTCAAGTTTTATGACCCAGATGCCCCCCTTTCCCATGAAAAAACTACCATCATTAATTCACACACATCCTGACAGGACTACCTGCATTAATTAACACACTTCCTGACCGGAAATACCTCGTTAAATTTCATTTCCTCTTCCCTATTGTTTTATGGAAGTCATTAAAAAGGATTAAGGATTAAAAGGGATTAATACCCCCCGGATTAAAAACTCCCTCAAAGGCCCTATACAGCTGCTGCCGGTGTATCGGCTTTCAGGGTAAGATAAAGGGCATAGCTGATGCAAGTGATGAGGAAAGGGATACCTCCCTTCTCTACTTCTTTCCCTTCATTGTATTCGACGCCATCCCTCTCTCTCTCTCTCCTCTTCTTTTTCTTGCTCTCTCCCTCCTTCTCATTCTCCCTCCCTCCCTCCCTCCCCTCTCTGTCTCTGTTTCTGTCGATCTCCCCTCCAGTCTTTCCTTTTTTCTCTCTCCTTTTTTCTCTCTCCTCCGTCACTCACTTTCACTCTCATCTCCTTCTCCATTTTTCTATCTTCTTATTCGTTCTTTCTTTCCAACCCTCTCTCTCTCTTTCCCCCTCTCTCTCCCTTTCCCCCTCTCTCTCCCCTCTCTCTCTCTCTTTCTCACCCCCCTCTCTCTCTCTCTCTCTCTCTCTCTCTCTCACACACACACACACATGTACCTCCCAACTTCGCTTGTGCTGTCTCGTTCTCTATCTCTGACTTTCTCCTGTACCAAACCTGTCTACTTCCCTCTCTCTCATCTTACTTCTCTCGCCCCCTCCCTGCCTCTTCCCCCTCCAACAAGCCTACACTGTAGGATGTATTATGAATGAGTGCAAAGAATGCTGGTCTATCCATCATGGCTGAGAGGATTTAATTGCTCCTCATTGCTCTTGTGTCTATCCCATTTAATTAATACCCCTCACTTGCATGCCACCATCCCCCAGTGTAAGTCTCTCATTCATATGCAGCACATGCAGACTCAATTAGACACTTAAAACATTTCCATAAAGCATTGAGACTAGCCTAACTTTTGACATTAATACACAATTCCATAATGCCTTGAGAATAGCCTAAATCTGTCAGTATCTGGCTATGTCAGGGCAACTACAGGACAGGGCCTATGGAGTGCAGTTTACCAGGTAGTCTTACTATTCAGACACCCTGTTAAACCTTCCGATTGGCGAGAGCTAGTGCCTCCTAACTAGCCAGCATCCTCCAGTGTAGGGAAGTCTCCCATTTCCCCATCGCCGTGGTGTGTGAAATGGAGGATACCTCTCATCTTCCAGCGCCATCATCCCATTAGTGCAGTGTCTTGAGTTAGGCCTACAGGTTCCAGCGTGATTGATGTGCACAGGTATTTCAAATGCATTAAAATGTCATTCATGTTTGAGCGGTGCTTTCAAAAGACTATTAAATTCTTAGTTTTTCCATTTCCCAGAATATCAGGATTATCATCTCAACGATATTATCTGTTGAGACTTGAGAGCCAGAAAGACGTTATAAGTGTCTTGAGTAAACATCCTTCTGGCTCTCTGCAGAAGATATAGCAGTGGAATAAGACTAACGTATTCACTAATGACTTTCATGTTTTACATGTATAATAACAAATGCAATTTACTGCAAGTTATAATTTTCCGTTCATAATATCAGGAGACATGGCATTCATTTTGGCTTATTTTGATTCTAAGAATTTCTTTAAAGCAACGATCCCTGTCTGCTCTATATGACAATTCACAAGGCCCAAGTAGAAGACTTATTTTTAAGAAATGGCAATTATTCCTTGCTCTGAACATCTGGATATTCCCTTTGGTATCGAAGTTCAGAGATCAGACAACTGCTTGGTCTATTTTGTGTGTGTGTTCTGAATTAACAAAGGAACGGTGATGGATCTCTCTTGATCCTCTCTTGTCTTTCATCCAGAGGCCTCGTCTTAAAGGTCACTGTGAGTGCTAGATATGAAACAAAGAGAAACTATAAAGATTCCAACAAAAACGATATGATATTCACTAACATTTTAAATTTGAGGCACCTTAAATAACATAACTAAACAGGCATCTGCCAAATAAAACAACAAACATACAAGTAAATAAACTATTTAACAAAAACAAGAAGCAAAGCAAAACAAAGTATGCAAGCTGAGTAATATGAAGAGAAAATGGATACTTGTTGTCTCTTGGAACTAAAATACATTGTCCCATAAAGGCATATCTGTGTTTGTAATTTTCAACGTTTGTTAATTTCAGCAATAATTCTTATTTCTCTTTATTTTTCTAGTTCGAAGAACAATATACATGACATCATAATCAAGTTTAACTATTCATATTTGCTTTTAAACAGCTGACAATGTATATGAACGTGCAAATTTGTAAGATCGGAACTCGATTTATTCCCTTTAACTCTGCGGTGTGGAGGTTTAGGATGCCTTCATCCCCGTAATGCAATATGGCCGGTGTTTTGGTTAGGTCCAGTCCTCTCGTAGTACTTGAACCTGAATCAAATTTCTCCTGCCTGGATGCCACTGATGAAGATAACAGATGGGCAGCCATTTTGTCTCACATGTAGGGGGGCTCTTTGTGGTGAATGGAAATGACGGTTTGAGACAGGCACCCATTCATTGATGATGACCCCACAGTGGGGAGAGGGATGATAGTGAAAGAGTTTGGATGAGAGAAATACCCATCTCCAGGGGTGGAAATAGCTATGCAGGAGTTTTGAGGTTTTCCCCATGAGGTTTTCAATATTTTGGCATGATCGAGGGAGGGCCTGTTAACTTTTGCCTGGGTTGAGTGGGCCAGTTGCATCTAAATTCCCAAACCAAATTTCTGTCCCACCCCTCCCATTTCCCTCTCCCAGTAAAACAAGAAGGCATCATAGTTTGGCTTGTTAACTGAAGATGTAAAGGTATTGAGGTTTGCCATCATCAAATTACCCTTTTTGACATATTTTCTCTATGCTGTTTAGATTGAAAATATGCTGATGTGTGAAGTCTGTAGCTATTGTAGTTGTTTCTTTCACACATGAGCTTCTAGTTCTACAGGGATTTTAACCATGTAATCACAGAACCCTCGATAGAGTCAGATATAAGGATTTAATCAGCACATACTCATGTTAAATGATATTCAAATGCTCTCCAGAGGGCTACAAACGTAAGCAACACCACCCAACAGAAACCTTTTTATCTTTCATTCAATGAACAAGGGGTTAAAAGGCCTAAATTCGAGAACAAATGTGTCACTTTAATTCTCCTTTTTGTTCGATGATAGAATACAGTCCATGGATAAATTTTATCAGCATTTAAAAACTTGGGATGCTGAGGAGTTGAGTAGTAGTTTTTTCCAGGGTGGGGAGGGGTGGGGGAGGGGTGGGGGAAGGGGGTAGATATTGGTTTAGCCAAAGTAAAGTGCGTATGACCTTTACCTGATTTTATTCTGTTCAAATTTTTCACAAGGGACAGCAAGAGCATCAAAGTCTTTCAATTTACTTTTGCAATTTGATGTGATAATTAGACTTTGATTGCCCGCAATGATCTTTATGAGCCACTCAATCCCGAGTTCAATTTCGGTTCTATGGACCTAATTATAGACCTGTAAACCTTGGAGGCGACTTGAATTCTGATTTTAATGTGGTTAGGGAAGATTTATTCCTTATTTTTCTCCTGCAAGCATATAGTGCATCTGACCCTTTCCCTTTATTATAATGAGTTGAAAGCCAGAAGGGTGTTAACACATCACAAAGAGAACTTGAAGTAATGCCCTTTTTGCTCTCAGGAGACGTTGTCTGACTCTTAATTTGTGCACATTGCCTTGGCTGTGTCTATAACAACGAGACGTTACTTTTATCACCTTTGTACTTTGGTGTTGTTCAGGTCTAGGTTCATGATATAAAATCGTTGACCTTGCCTTTTTTGATGTTTGTAAACCAACCATTAGGATTATATGGCTGTCCAATTTGCTGCATGTAGACAACCTGACGATACATTTTAAGTTGTGTACCTTTTTAAACAAATGAAGAGAACAGTGTTTGAAACTTGTATCACTTTATACACATAGATTATGCTATTCTGGTTCTGTCTCAGCTGCATGATATCTACACTACAGACAGAAAAATGGGGGACATTTATGTGTAATAATGTATTTTGCTGAAACAAGAGTTATATCTCAAGTTATAAGGGATTTTGTTATCTATGTCAGATGTGGACATACCTACATAAAACCTTTTAGAATTTTGAGAGATCTTTGCCTCAAGCAGTAGATAATGGGCATGTGTACAGAATGAAACGAAAAGTGGTTTGATTATCAGATCAACTAAATCATTGCTGCAGGATCATTGGAAGGTATCTTCAAAGGGTCCTACTAGGGAACATAATTGGAAGAATTATACCCATAGGCCCCTTTCATGCAGTATGCAGAAGGATTCGCAAAGTAAAGAAGCATTAGATTGGTCCTGATGGCATTGAACGGTGGCCAAACAAATCACAGTCGCCTGACAAATGGTCGGAAGTGCCAGAATGTGTGCAGAGCGAATCACTTTATGTAAATGCCCCAGAGGCCAGTTTTTCATCTCAAATGATCGGATGATGGGCCCCGCTTTGTGCTTAATTAGATTCCATATCTTCTATTGTT